ACCATTTTGTACAAATGTCAAAGGTTTGTGACCATTTATGATAACTAAATTAGAATTATCAATTGTTATTTTATATTGAATGCTTTTTGGGTTAAGGTTTAGAGAATCAAAGACTATGGCTTATCCATTCGAGATTAGAATATAGTGTCATACTCAAAAGTCAGTTTAATTAAAGATCTAGATAAATATCTCATAAGGAATATCCAAAGTATCTTATACTCCATGAGTGCTCTAATTTTACTCATATATACATATATAGAGAAAGTAACAGGACAATTGTGTGATCGTCTTCGGACGAAGTCACGATACACACTAATTTTGAGTCCATCCGACGATTATCGATTGCCTACACACAATTTGGCGATCACGAAGCACTATGAGCACCATAGTAAAATCCGAGTTAATTTATTCCTACAACCCATGGTCATCCCCCCAAGCCAAGTCTAAAGGGCATGGGTACAACGACTCAACTACAAAACAAACTCCAATCAAAGGCGATATAACGACTTGATTACAAGGTTAATTCCAACCAAAATTTATAGTCCATAAGCAACCAGACTCCTCATGAAAGAGGTTATTTTGCAACTACACGGACATCTCTGTTATATCTCCTAGGAGCAAAATGACACGAATCTGGCTAAAAAAAGAGCACAGTGAGTGAACTTCTTCCAAGATGGCTCTGCTCAAGATTGAATAAGTACTTCGACGTCATGTTGGATGACCAGTTGAACATGGCCACAATAACACACAATCAAAAGAAGTACGCATTAGCAGAGCCGTCCCATGATATTTGTAGGCCCTGTTCGAAAATTTAACATGTGGCCCCTAATTTTTTTCTCAATAAATTTATTAAAAATAAAATTTATTAAATAATTATAAAGTACATAAGTTCAGAAAATGATTTCAAAATGAATAAACAATCTCGCTTCCTGTTTGACCAAGAAACCAAGACCAAATTCTCACTCCTAGCAGGGAGGGAGAAAAGTAAATATGGAGGGAACAGAAAATGGATATAGAGCAAAAATTGAATGGAGAAATGAAAATAATATAAATTGATCGAGAGGTGGGTGCGGGTCTATCTAATGGATCGTGTAGGCCCTATTCCAAAATTGAGACATGATCCAAATTGACTTTTAACTATAATAAAACTAAAATGATTATAATACCATTATTCAAAATGTAATATCTTTCTTTATTGTTTAAATTAAAATTATCTATTATCTCTCTGATTTTCGTATTCTCCGTGAGATCCTTTTCAATTGTTATTATGGCTAAAATTATCTATTAAATTCGTCATCAAATTCATAATCTATCAATCCTACACTAAAAAAACAACCTACCATATTCGATCGGTAACTAACGAATCTAAGTGGAGGCCCCTAATATTCGGAGGCACTATGCCAGATGGCGGGCCGGCACACCCTCTTGGCCGGCCTTGTGCATTAGGCACAATCTCATAGCATCTGAATGACAAGTAGTTCAACAAATATAAGTCTCGAAAGTAAATAACATCAAACTATCACCTTATAAGCCAATGAAGCCAATTGCACTTCCTTTGATTGATCCTTTGATTGACCATAAAAAGGCGATCACTATAGCTCTAGAAATCTCTATTCCAAGATATCATAACATGCCTTTGAGACTTGGTCAGAAAATCATCCACATAATTGCAAAAAATAGGACTAGCTAGGGGTGAACAAACACAGCCGTAAACCGACCCACCCGTCCAACTCGACCCAGCCCACTCGTATTTATCGCTAAAACGAAGGTTTTGGGTTAGTTGAGGGTTTTCTTTTGTACAACCTGCCTCTATTGGGTTGGGTTTGAATTTTGGATTACACAACCCGTAGAACCCAACCCAACCCGTATTCCAACTATTGGTAGGAGTTCGTATCCAAAAATATTTATGTCATATATAGCCATACTTATGCGAAAATTAAGATATTTGGCCATGTTTTTCTCTCATGGTCTCACTAATCTAATACATTCTTCGGCTTAAAGATTAGACATAAATTCAATATAGATGTGATTCACGTAATCCTTTTTCTTGTGTACAATTTTAATAGAATAACATATTATGGGTGTATTCGTTTATAACCTTTTTAGCCTATTTCAACAAATATCGTGAAAAAAACTAGACATATGTTGAAGTAAATCACATTTTATTAAAACTGAAACAACATTTTGTGAAATTTGATACCTTTCACCTCGGTTTATTCGTTTGAAATTTAGTTATTTATAAAATATTTTTTATGGTGTAGAATAATTAAATATTTTGTGTTGGGTTGGGTTCTTACTTAAAATATAGTCAACCCGGTCCAACCCAATTAGAAACAAACCGTAGGGTTTAAATTTTTTTGGGTGGGTTTGGGTTTAATATTTCTCAAACAGTAATACATGATTGGGTGATTAAAATGGTTAACCTGAACCACCCAACCCATATACACCCCTAGGACTATAGGTGTCAAAACATAGCCCGACCCGATTAACCCGCCCGATCAACCCGACCCGCAACCCGAATTGACTAAAAGTCAACAACCCGTAACCCGCCCGACCCGCAACCTGATTGATCCGCAACCCAACTAACCCGCAACCCGACTAGCCCGCAACCCGATTAACCCGAATCCGATTGACCCGCAACCCGATTAACCTGAACCCGATTGACCCGAACCCGACTAACCCGTAACCCGACCGACTCAACCTGAATTTCATCTAATCCACTTGAATAATTATAAAAATATACAATACATAGTTTTTCAAAATAAATTTTTTCATTCTAAACTTAAGTAAAATTATTTTTTCATTTCGTATAAGAAATTTTAAAAATATGAAACTCACTTGATATTACGTATTTTAAGAAAATTACAAAAATTGAAACATGAAGGTCACTTGAGATCATGACAATATTAATATAATATATAAATTAAAATTTTGGTTAATTTAACGATTCAATAAAATTATCAATTAAATATAAATAAAGTAAAGTAATGTATTTGGTAATTTGATGTTTTTAAAAGAAGAGGGAAATTTTGGTGTATTCAAGTTTTTGGGAAGAGAAAGAAGAGGGAAATTTGGTTCTTTGAATTTTTTAGAAAAGAAACAAGTGGGAATTTTGGTGGTTTTGATATGTGGGAAGAGAAAGAAGTGGGAAAGTTTGATTCTTTTGATTATGAAAGAGAAATAAGGAGGGAAACTTTTGACTTTTCAACTTTTTGTAGAATGAAAGAAGAGGGTAATTTGGTTCTTTCAATTTTATGGAAGAGAAAGAGGAGGGAAAATTGAGTTTTTCTAATGTGTGGAAAGAGAAAGAAGGAGGGAAATTTTAGTATTTTTGTAAAAAGAAAGAAGGAAACAAATTTGGTGTTTTCAATTTTTTGGTTTTTCATAATTTTAGCTTTTGAAATATGAATCTTTAACTTTTATATGGAGGGCATGACTATGGAGGGCATGACTAGTTAAAATTATTCTTATATGCTTTGAAGGCTAATATGTATATATGTATGTAATTTTTTATGTGCTAATAAATAAATTAACCATTAGTTACAACAATTTATACTAAACTTGATAAGTAATCTTTGACGGTTCATTCTTTAGGATATAAAGTATGGTTAGGGTATAAGGTATAAGGTACATATGGTTTAGGGTGTATATGGTTAGGGTATAAGATATCGATGGTTTTGACGGTTCTAAGTTTTTTTTATTAACATATGTTCACTTGAAGTCATTTGAAGTCTTTAACGGCAGGAGATCCCTTTTTAATTTATGTTTATGGTACGTGGTTAGGGTACAAGGTATGTGGTGTAAAGTATAGGATATATGGTTAGGGTATAACAATTAGCAATTATCACTTTTTATCTATGTTTTGAAAATCAAAGTATGAATTTCACTTTTAAATTAACTATACTAGCAAAATCACAACTCAAGGACATATGATTAGGGTATAGGTTATGTTGTTAGTGTATAATGTATTGATGGTTTAGGGTATACAATCAACAATATATACTAACTTAATATTGTTGATTGAGGGTAAAGCTAAGTGTATAGGATATATGCTATTGAGTAAGTTATGATTGAAGTCACAATAATTTTACTAAATTTGATAGCTAATCTTTAATGGTTCAATTTTTAGGATAATTCGAACAATTTTACAAATAACTCGTTTGACAACAGTTTACTAAAGTTATTTGGGCAATGAGTTATTTTGAAATAACTCATTTTATCACTATGCTTTTGCCAAATACCACACGCAAAATATCAGATTTGCATGGTTATACTAAACGAGATACTTTAATCCAATTACTACTGAATTAATATTAAAATACAAATAAACAATTAACGGTGTCTTTTGATTGCAAATATTGATATCACCATTACTATTAGCTATAATACTTTACCAATTATGATTAATTACATAACAAGTTTGCAAGTCATACAAATTGATTTAACATTTTGACTAGTATTTTTCAAAAAAATAAAGTATATATATACGAGGTAGAAATAAATTGGTTAAAAAGTTGAGAAAATATTTTAAATTAGTGTAATAAAATGTGTAATTTGGTAATGAGTAATGAGTTAAGTTACTTGATGCGCTGGCCTGAACAACCCGAAACCCGACCCGCCCGCAACCCGCCCGACCCAAAACCCAGTGAACCCGCAACCCGATTTGCCCGCAACCAGATTAAATCCGAACCCGATGAACCCGCAACCCGACTAACCAGCAACCCATTTGAACCCGAACCCGATGAACCCGAACCTGACTAACCCGCAACCCGTTTGAACCCAGCGCGAACCCGCCCGAACCCGCCCGATTGACACCTATACCTAGGACTAGCCATCAAGGTCCACTCTTCTTTCTTTTCCTCCACAACACCTCATGGGCTAATAACTACGGGCTCCTCCTTTCGACGGCTTCCTTTTTCTTGGTAAGAAGGAATGTTGCTTACAATGTAGCAAGCCCGATAATCTGCAGGCTGAAGCCCACTTCAAGAGTCCATTAATGACCGCGCTACGGAGTCCAAATTTGGTGGGTTTTGGCCCAGGATAAGCCCGACGACCAAGCCGCTCCCGGGTATATTTTTTATTCCTCCCTTTCGGCTAGGGCAGTTCGTTTCCAGGAGAAGTTGCTGCAGCTTTGCTAGGGTATATATTGCAGCAGAAGCGCCTGGAAGAGGGTTTTAGGGCGTAAAAGAAGAAACGTAGCCGTAGAAGAGGGCTCTTTTTCGGGCGAACAAACTTTATCTTCCTGAGAAAATCTTTCCAAAGGTACGGATTCACAGACTCCATCCTTCTCACTCTCAGATCCCCTCAACCAAACCCTAGTTCTTCTCCTTCTTCATCACTGCCGGTTCGTCCCTCGCCGGAAGCTACTTCAGTTCCCCCGATTCACTGTTCCTGTTCCTGTTGTTATGAATTCGTCTCCTGGTTGGTCTCGCTGACGATTTGTTATGTTGTTTGTTTTCACTGTGATGTGTAGATGGATCGGTACCAGAGAGTTGAGAAGCCGAGAGCTGAGACTCCTATCGATGAGAACGAGATTCGAATTACTAGCCAGGGAAGGATGCGCAGCTATATCTCCTACGCCATGAGCCTGCTTCAAGTATGGATTCACCTTTTTCTCGTATCATGTTTTCAGTATCAAGTCTATTCTTCCAGTGTGACATATCGCTCGTTTCTGGTTTGGCTTCCCGCTCTGTTTTTGGCTGTTGTTACGGTATACTGTTTGTGTTTTGGCTTCTGCGTGTTTGAATAGGTGTTCCTTTGTTCGGATTTGGATGTGTAGTAGTTTGTAGTCTGAAGCGATTACTGAGAATGCGTGAACACAGGTTGCTCCAAAATCAAGATTTCTTAGGGTTTAGCTGTTTTGGAAGCCTAGATTGTTAGGCTTAATAATGGTGTTCAGTGGACGAATTATAATTTGATGGCTGAGTGAGAGTCTGTCACCAACTTAGCCGTGCCATTTGCATCTGACATATGGGATGGAGCTTTTAATGAACGGGGATGATAAGAACCACCACTTTGGTAACTAAGCATGGGAGGAGGGACTAACTTAACCATGCTCAATACTCTCTGCAGGAGAAAGGTGCAGATGAAATCGTATTCAAGGCAATGGGAAGAGCCATCAATAAGACCGTGACCATAGTGGAGCTTATCAAGGTTAGTTGTTCAGTTCCGGAGTTTTCTAAATGCTAAGTTATGCTGCATGGTCTTGTCTAAGTTGGAGTAAGGAATGATGACATGGCTTTTATACCTGTAATGCAGAGGAGGATTGTTGGTCTTCATCAAATCACATCGATTGGGTCCACTGATATAACAGATACATGGGAGCCCCTTGAGGAAGGCCTCCTTCCGTAAGGACATACTTTGAATCATGAATGAGCTTTTTTCCCTCTGACCTTAATGGTATTTTACCTCTGACCGTGTATCCTTGTCCAGTTTGGAGACTACAAGGCATGTGTCAATGATCACAATTACACTCTCCAAGAAGGAATTGGATACAACTTCTGTTGGGTAAGTTTTAATTGATTTTGATCACAAATTTTTTTCAAGTCTGTGACTTATCTTTTAAAACTGTTGCCAGTTCTTCTATGCCTTTCACAATGAGTGCTTTGATATACTGTAAGTTTACCTGTGAATCACAATGTTTATTGGTGTACACTTGCAATTTTCTTAATCCCTTTTAGGCCCGAATCCATTTTTTACCCTTGCATATTATACACCGCGATCTTCCTTGAAATCTACAAGAAGAGGTTATAGGATCTGGGATTAGGAATTTGATGCATCATTTAGTTGACATGTTGCAGTTTGTAGTTGGATTATCTCCAAGCTATAACATTCTCCTATTGTGTTGCTCAAAAATGGTTCTTCACCTGATTTGCTGCCCTCAGTATTATGATTCTTCTCCTAGTTGGTCGGTCCGCCAGCGTATGTTGCTACAACTCTTATCTATCTATTCTTACGTACTGCTGTTCCATTCAGGTATCAGCCCCCACTACCTGAAGACCAGGTGAAAGCCTCCACAGATTATGAATATGAAGGAGGAGGTACTCATGACTCATATTTTCCTCTAGTCTTCTTCTATATCTGCCTTTATGTTTTGACCTGAATATCTCTGACAGAGGGATCTCCAAACGGCCGAGGCAGAGGTCGTGGTGGCAGAGGAAGGTCAAGGGGCAGAGGTATTGTGTAAACGAACACCCTAATGCTTATTTTACACTATTCGTTTTGTCTGTTACATTGTGTTACTTCTTGTTTATTTACATCCCAATGTTTTTCAGGGAATGGATATGTGTCCGTGGAATACGAAGATGGTGGTTGGGACCAGGGCGGCTATGCCAGGGGCAGAGGTCGGGGTAGAGGACGTGGCGGATTCCGTGGCCGTGGTAGAGGAGGCTATAATGGTCCTCCTCCCGAAGCCCAGCAGCAAGATGGTGGCTTCTATGATGCTCCTCCTCGGGGCCGTGGTAACTCTCTACTACACCCTTATAATGTCTAGTCTGAATGTCTGATTGATCTTGCACTAATTTTTCCTCATCGTTCTTTATGCAGGGCGTGGTCGTGGTAGAGGAGGTTATTATAATGGTCCTCCTCCCGAAGCTCAGCAGCAAGATGGTGGCTTCTATGATGCTCCTCCTCAAGGCCGTGGTAACTTTTTCTACTATACACCCTGTAATGTCCAGTCTGATCGATCTTACACTTAACTTTTCCTCGTCGTTGTTTCTGCAGGGCGTGGCCGTGGTAGAGGAGGGTACCGTGGAAGGGGCCGTGGTGGAGGTAGATCGAACGGACCGGCAATCCAGGCTGCTGCATGATGATGAGATGTACGGTTTTCAACTGGGATTCTTGTCCCTCTTGAATCCAGTTTTCTTCTCGTGGCAATGTTTTTATCAGCTCGTTATTATCTGTTTTTTGTTCGTTGTTTCTGAATTTTTGGGATTCTATTGTGCTTGTTGCCCAGTTTGGTCGCAAGTTAGAGATTTCTATGTTTAACTTTTAGGACATTCTGTTCCCATATATGTGTAACCACAGTTTAGACTAATCCTTTGTAGTCTGAAATTTGTTGTGTTTTAGGTCGTTTTAGATTGTGGTTGAACAAATAACTGTAACAATCTCCCTTTTAAAGTTGTTACGTTGAGCATTCTTTTATTTTTCATCATCTCCTTTTGGTTTACCTGAAACCTTTTTGCCTGTACTCGATTCGTGTGGTACCCCAATGGCCTTTGGAACGATGTGCTTAGTAAAAGCTAACAAAGCCTTCTCTCTTTGTAGAAGATAATGAAGCATATAAATCAGTCCGATGATTGTGTGTAAAATCGAGCATATACGTCGGTCCAAGATAGGGTCAGTAACCACTGGTTACTGACTCATCAGTAACCACATGGGAGCCGTAGGATTGGGAATGGAGCAATCGTGTGGCTGGGCTGGATGTGGGGTGGGGAGGGGCATTTTTGTCCATTTTTGTATTTTTAATTTTTATTATTCATTCCGCATTTCAATAGCTGATTTTTCAATGAAAGAGAGACAATGCATTTTCTCTGCAACTCAACTTTCTTTCTTCTCTCTTTTTTTCTTTCAATCTCTTTCCAGATCCTTTCTCTTTCTCTATTCCTTCTCTCTTTCTTTTTCTTTCACAATCTCATTTTCAAATTTAGATATGCTCTCTTCCTTCTTCATTTTTTTCTCTAGCAATCGACGAATAAAAATTGTAGCCACTCTCTTTCTTTGCATTTCTTCTCTTCATCAACTCGTTGACCTCAATTCCGATCTTTCTCATTTTTTTGGCATTTTGGTGTTCTTGATTGAGGAAGAGGAAATGAGAGGCATCAGAAGACGATTTTTTCTCTCCCTCCTTCTATTTTTTTTTCTATTTAGATAATATATATTGATATTATGACTCTATACCATATGGTATTGGGTGGTAACGAAATATATATTGATATTACCACACTATATCCTATGGTAATGTATGGTATTGCGTGGTAACGAAATATATATTGATATTACCACTCTATACCATATGGTATTGTGTGATATTACCATACTATACCATATGGTATTGTGTGGTAACGAAATATATATTGATATTACCACACTATACCATATGGTATTGGGTGGTAACGAAATATATATTGATATTACCACACTATACCCTATGGTAATGTATGGTATTGCGTGGTAACGAAATATATATTGATATTACCACTCTATACCATATGGTATTGTGTGATATTACCACACTATACCATATGGTATTGGGTGGTAATGAAATATATATTGATATTATCACACTATACCATATGGTATTGGGTGGTAACGAAATATATATTGATATTACCACACTATACCATATGGTATTGGGTGGTAACGAAATATATATTGATATTACCACACTATACCATATGGTATAGACTGGTAATAACTGGAAAAAAATTTTGTGTCAAAAAAATATCAAAGTGGATATCATTTTGAAGAGCATAATTAATCTGATCTAACTGTGAAAAAAAAATTAAATTTCGACTTAAAACGAGTGAGAAATCGTCCGTTAAAGATTAAGAGAAGGAAAATTAAAGGTTTTTCGATGAGAGAGAAGGAGGTCCTGATGTGGTCGGTCAAAAGTCAGCGCGTCAGCGCGTCAGCAATAAATATGGGATAAGTGCATTTTACCTTACTGCCCTTTAACATTTAATTTAAATAAAAAAGTAACTGACACGTGGAGAGAGGAGAGAGGGGTTACTGATGGGTTACTCACCCATTAGTTACTCACCCGATCTGCTCCCATATACGTCTTAGTCCTGTTGTGACTGGTCATCCTCTTGGATAATTGATCGTTGCGGAACGAAGGTAAGCAGACAATAAACTAGATCCATCCTATGCAAGGATTGATGGTTGTGTTAACTGTTAACAAAGCATCTAACTAACGCTACCTGATGGTTAGGGCGGGAAAATAGATCAGCCGTTAGAAAACCCGTGGTCTAAATCGTATCACATAGTTTGGTCCGGACCGTAGATCATTAAGTATGGTCTGGTCTGACCCATGGTCTGTATTATTTTATGTTTTGATCTCTTGGTCTGGTCTGGTCTAGACCGTGGTTTACTGGACCAAACCGTGAACCCAACCGACTTGTCAATATGTGTTAACAGCCCATTCGGCCACTCTCCCAACTCCCACAAGGTCACCCAGGTCTCAACCTTAGTTTTATGAATCTCATCCCTCCTTCATTCACAACCACATTTAACCAGAGAGTAGAGATAATCGTGTCTCCATATGACATTATATTAATATTTATGACGTTATGATGCATGTTGGGATGCTTTTACTTTGTATCTTTGTTATGTACTAAGATTTAGGGTATCAAAATTATTCATGCATGTTAAGATTAATGTTTTAATGCATATAACAATGATTTTTCTTGGTTATTGGTTCATTTTTTTTTGTGGTTGACTAAACAAAATTATTCATTTTTCGTTGAGTGTGGTCTATCTGGACCAGACCAGACCGAACAGGCATGGTCTGGACCTGATCGTATAATTTGTAGTCTGGTCTGTGATCTATACTTCAGCCTCTCAGTTTGACCCATAAACTACAACACATGGCGATAATGTAGTGCTTTCTATTCGAATCAACTCAAATTGATATATAAACTGTGCAGGTCATAGTTTGTTTCAGCCGTTTTTAATAGTTAATTATCTACCAACTGACTTCCAAGTGTAGATACAGAGTTTCTATTGAAGCAATTATCAACATATCTGAGTATCGTAACATAATAAAATCTCTTTGTACCTTACCTTCTATCGATGACAATAGTTAAACCATGAATAAGCTGAGCCAGCTGGAACAAATATGAAATACATAACACGTGTTGGGTCGTACAAAACCTCCCACCTACTCAGATCAAATCATTTTTTCGCTGCTCAATGTATTAATATACTTGCTCATTTTAACATATGATTATTAAATTACTGTTGTAGCTTTCCTAGTGGCAGCAAAAGAAAATGATTGTGATCTTTTTTTAGTTTCAGTATAAATAAGAAGAATTCAATCACTTTTTAATATCATCGGCTAACGTGTTTTTTTTATACATAAATTTGACTTTATATAAGACAGTTGCAGAATTCAATCACTTTTTAATATCATCGGCTAACGTGTTTTTTTTATACATAAATTTGACTTTATATAAGACAGTTGCAGAAGAACTCGTCGAAATCATCCATCTCTTACAAAGACTCCTAATAAGTAACATAATTTGCAGGGTACCAATATAGACTCAAGTTGAATGGTAGTTTCATTCAATTTCCGTCATATCTACAACAAGATCCCTTCGATTTGATTAAACACTCGTAACAAGTTCATTTGAATCCAAATTTGCCCTACATCCTCTTCATGGCGACCAATGGGTCTATGATCTTCCGCCAGCCATTGTAGTCAATGGGAGAGCCAACGCCGGGCAACACAAACCCATTCACTATGAAACCAGGAGCTCCATAGATGCCTCTTGACGTACTAAACTGCAACAGGAAAAATGAAGCAGCATCAATTGCTACGAGTTCACAGTTAACACAAATTAAATTGTGGTTCAGAGACAATTCGTTAATAAACAAGATTTCCACAACATCGTGAGCTTTTGATTACCTCAAAGGACATCCTCGTCTTCAGATCGGTTCTTATGTCGCTGAAGGCAGCTTGGAATTGAGGTTGGAGGGAATTGCCGACAGCGAGAGTCGCAAAATCAATCACCTCTTTCACAATGAAAGCTTTCGACAAGTTCTTCGTTTGGTCATTATAGAACTTGTCCTGAAAGAATTTTCCCCCCAAGCATATAAATGGTAATTAAGTTTCATTTCCTTACTATCCTCCAACAACAACTCGAGTTATTTTGATACGATACTCCGTAAACAGGACTCTGACCTGATACTTGAAGAACTGCTCGAGCAACGGGAATGTGGAGGAAGAATTGAGCAAGTTTGCGATATGCAGAGATCGAGAAGCAACATATGCGTTGTCATGGTACCTGTTTGTTTCAAAAGAATGAAGAAGAAAAAATGAACGGAAGATATGGAATTTACTTTCTTGAACTACTTTTTTGCATATCACAGATTCATTCTACTGACGGTAAAGGGAGGAGGTGAACTAGCAGAGAGACGCGGGATCCATAATGGCTCATAGCTAGCTTGAGAGGCGCCCAGGAGTCTCTGCTGTCGGGGCAAACCGGGTCGAGGAACGCCTCGATCGCAACCGGGTTCGGGTCAACCCGCCCGACGTTCGTGTAGACAAACCCATCGGGCCTGGCCGGCGGCAAGGGCTGGGCGTTGGAGATGATGACGAAGAAGGCTACAACTGTTGTGATGATGACTACTCGTAGCGGATTCATCATCTTGGTTCTGTTGTTGCTCTGTTTCCTCTGTTATTATGAGCTGCTAGCTGCAGCTTTGTTCCACTGGTTGTGTAGACAGAAATGATGAAAATGCCAAAGGGAATATAAGAAAGATGTATTTGTGGAAATATGACTAGGATTAGGAGGGCAAAGCAAAAAGTCGGAATTAGTGACCTGAAATTTGGTGTTGCTTTGGCGGGTCAGGCAAATTAGTTAAATCGGACGACGATGTGTGTATTACTATATATAAACAAACGTGTGGTGTGGTGTGGAAGTTGGTTTGATGTGTGTATTTTTCCGCCCTGGAAGAAAGAATAAAAACAAGAAATGCCCTTCTTCTATGCTATTTGTTTTCTCCCTTGGCATTGTTGTTGTTGTTAATAGTCAGGTAATGGTATTTGATGCCTTCTTTTCTTTGGTTTGTAAGGTGGAAATTATCATTATTTTAATAATAAGTTCATGATTATGACCTTTACTGTATGTCTATGGGGTTGGTAAATGAGATGAGGTTATCGATGTTAATTTAAGGGTTAATATATTTGTAATAGTGTGAACTTTGAAAAAATAAACATCCTGGCTAATCTTTTAGATCTATAACATCCTGATTCAAACTATACATCAAAATAACTAAATTGGCCAAACCCGACGTTTGACCGTTAACTTGGACGGTCAAACACGTTGACTGTCAGTGCCAAGTCAGCCTAAAAATACTTAAAAACTTACTAAATTCCACATATTATGTAATTTTGAATTATTATAATTCCACATATTATGTAAATTTATTGTGTTTTAGGTCGTTTTAGATTGTGGTTGAACAAACAACTGTAACAATCTCCCTTTTTAAGTTGTTACGTTGAGCATTCTTTTATTTTTCATCATCTCCCTTTGGTTTACCTGAAACTTTTTTGCCTGTACTCGATTCGTGTGGTACCCTAATGACGTTTGGAACGATGTGCTTAGTAAAAGCTAACAAAGCGTTCACTCTTTGTAGAAGGTAATGAAGCATATAAATCAGTCCGATGGTTGTGTCTAAAATCGAGCATATACGTCTCAGCAGGGCTGAAAATTGGCCCGACCACTCCTGACCCTGTCCTGACCCTATCTGACCCGTCCCTGAAGGGTCAAGATGTATAACTGACCCGCCCCGACCCTGTCTGACCCTTTAAGGTCGGGGCGGGTCAGGAAGGGTCGGGTCAGTGGGTCAACCCTAATAAATAGACTACTTTTCTAAAAATTACAATTTGGTACCCGAACTTATTTTTTCTTACATTTTAGTACCTAAATTTTATTTTTTTACAAATAATCCCTAAAATTTGATGATAAAATTACGTTTTGGTACCCAAAATTTTTAATTTTTACAATTTAGTACCTAAACTTATAAAATTTTTCAAATAGGTCCAACATGTTTGTATGATGCTAAGGGTCATAGGGTGAAAAAGTGACCCGACCCTATCTGACCTTGACCCGACCCTAAGCGGACCCGACCCTAAATTGACCCTATAGACAAACTGACCCAGCCCGACCCTGAGGGTCAGGACGGGTCGAGGCGGGTCAGTGGGTTTTAAGGGTCAAACTTTCACCCCTACGTCTTAGTCCTGTTGTGGCTGGTTATCCTCTTGGACAATTGATCGTTGCGGAACGATGGTAAGCAGACAATAAACTAGATCCATCCACTGCAAGGATTGATGATTGTGTTAAGTGTTAACTGTTAACAAGCATCTAACTAATGCTACCTGATGGTTAGGGCAGGAAAATAGACCAGACTGTTGGAAAAACCGTCGTCTAAACTCTAAACTGTATCGAATAGTTTGGTCCGGACCGTAGATCGTTAAGTATGGTCTGGTATGATCCATGGTCTGTATTATTTTATGTTTTGATCGGGTCTAGACCGTGGTTTACCGGACCAAACCGCGAACCCAACCGACTTGTCAGTATGTGTTAACAACCCATTCGACCACTCTCCCAACTCCCACAACGACACCCTAGTCTCAATCTTAGTTTTGTGAATCTCGTCCCTCCTTCATTCACAACCACATTTACCAGAGAGTAGAGATAACCGTATCTCTATATGACATTATATTAATATTTATGACGAAATGGTGCATGTTGGGATGCTTTTACTTTGTATCTTTGTTATGAACTAAGATTTAGGGTATCCAAATTATTCATGCATGTTAAGATTAATGTTTTAAGGCATATAACAATTATTTTTCTTAGTTATTGGTTCAATTTTTTGTGTGGTTGACTAAACAAAATTATTCATTTTTCGTTGAGTGTTGTTTATCTGGACCAGACCGGGCCGAACCAGATCGCACATGCATGGTCTGGACCGGACCGTATAGTTTGTAGTCTGGTCTGTGATCTATACTTCAACCTCTCTGTCTGAACCATAAACTGTATATATGGTCTGGTCTGGACCAAACCGCACCATTTTCCAACCCTACTAAGGTTAATAAAAAAAAGCAATCAATGACCTATCTCCATCCACAGGACTAAAGCTGCGCCAATATCGAAGATAGCAAGCAATTTCATCCCTTCACAACATCAGTTATCTAACACAACAACTTTTAGGTCATACATAGACGAAAAGACACAGCTCGGCAGTGGCGGACCTAAGGCTAGTAAGGGTGTGTCGTCCGACACACCCTCACTCGAGAATTTTGTGAAGAACCTATATATTTTTGGTACAAATTTTTTTACTTCGGAATAGCCGACACACCTTTAATAATTATAGCCGACACACCTTCATTATAGTCGAAGAATTTATTATTCAAACGAATCAATCTTAATCATAATCCATTTTAATTTTGTTTAAAATAACTCATAAATCATAATCCTATCACTTCATATTAAAAAAAAAAGACTCTCAGCCCATATAATATATATGTTGATGTGTGTTGGGTCTGGACCTATAATTAAAAGAGAAAAAAAATCACAGGCCAAATGGCCAATAGCCCAGGCGGACACTCTTTATCGTTTAGTTTACTTGTTGTTGAAGTTGATGTTGACTTTACCTGTTGCAACTGCAAGCTGCGAAAGAGCATTTTCAGCTATGAAGATAATCAAGAACGATCTTCGAAATCGGTTGAGTGACCAATTTATGAATGATTGTTTAGGTGTGTATATTGAAAAAGATTTGCTTTGCAACATAAGTGATGAATGTATTTTAGAGACATTTCAATAGATGAAAAGTCGTCGTGGTTCGTTTTAAATATGACCTTGTGAACGTTATAAATTAATTTCTTTTAATTTCTACTTAATTAATTTATTTAATTAATTTAATTATTATTGGATTTTATCGGCGACACACTTCTCCGACAATTCTGGGTCCGCCACTGCAGCTCGGTATCTCTATGGAAAGGTATGAACAATGAAGGCTGCTATTTATTTATCCACAGTACCACAACTACAACAAAGGTCTGAGTAACTGTTTATTTTGCTGCGAAATGGTTTCCCTCAAATCAGTTTGGCTATTAGTGAGGCTGAGATTCTTAGTATAGTATAGCTGCTGTTTTGTACTTTGTTATCAGGTAGTTTCTTTAAGACTTTAGTAGCTGTTGTTTTTTAGCCTGAGTGGTTGTATATACTCTGTAATTGGATGGTTCTGCAGTTTTGATACCAGTTAGAATGGTAATCTACCATTCTTTCTTGATGAATACACAACTTATTCATAAAAAAAAAAAAAAACAAAGGCCTGAGCATCTCACCCCAAATTAGGAAGGCCTCAGAAATTTGTGCGCAGCAGATGATGGTGGCTATCGAACTTTGCAGAAACCAGCGGGTCGATGATCTTTCTCCAGCCAATGTAAAGTGTTGTTTAAAATATTCAAACATGAGACTTTCAAATTGAAAACTAACGCTAATACCAGTGTACCACTAAACCAAACCCTTAATTCTCTTAAATATTTTTTTTAAGGAAAAGCCTACATAATCACTTACGTTATGAAGTATGGACAGTGGCGGACCACCCCGGGCCACGGCCCAGCTCTTCTCTGGATCCGGAACTAGTATAGTCCTTATGAGTTTATCGATTTAATCATTTGGCCCAGTGTTATTTTATAATAAAATTGTGTGTAATTAGGAAAATAGGCAAGATGAACATATTCAAATCACAACTCTAAATTTAGCCTGAAAATTCTAGCTCCAATAATTCTCATATAAAGAAAAGTAAACAATGAAACCTAAAATTCTAAAACGTAAAAGACTAAAAGAAATATGAGGTTTATTCTCTTAAGAAATTACTTGAGCAGCTGTTGAAAATAGGAATTTATTAGTCGATTGTGTTGACATTTGCGCAACAAAATGAACGATGAATTTCTCTCCAATCGGTTAACTATTTTATCTTAAAGAGTATGCTATTGATGTGGATGTAAAATCCATTATTGATGAATTCACTATATTAAAATTTAAAAGATTGACGTGTCCAATTGATATTGTAAAAAAAACTGTGATTTTTTTACGATATCTAATTTTCTAATGAAATGCGGCCCAGTGCTACGTTGTGTCCTGCATCCGCCGCTGAGTATGGAACTTTTGGAGTTGAAGTTCATCATTCACCAGCCTAGTCATCTCTATAGAATCAAGTAGGTTTCGAATTATGGAACCTTTGTAATTCATCAATTGCGATTGTAGAACCTTATATTGACTCATTTGGAAAGTATCTGATGTATTGTTTTGCTTGTCTCTTTTTCTTACATGAATGGCCAATTGAAGAGTACATGCTCTTTTCTTTATAATTTCTCATTGAACATTGGGTTGAATCAAGTGAGGCAGTGACAAAAGTAATTAAAGTATGATCTTTGTTTTCAGGCTCAAATTCCAAATCTTAACCAAAATTAACCAAAATCACACATTGAAGTAGAGTAGTACTGGAAGAAAGGACCCAACGAAAGTAGGACTTCTGGAATCTAGATGATGGGTGCTGCATATATTGGTCATTGCTCCTTCGGTCCTTCCAAAGCTCTAAACCAGTTAGGAAGTGCACAAAGAAAGTCAACCTGCAAAAAGACTCGCCGGTAATAAGCGTACACCTTTGTTTGTTAGATGGAAGGTCATAAGCATAGCTGAGCTGAGCGTGTGTGTTGTTGCCTTATTGGTATTTAGTTTCATACACCACATAAGAAAATTCATGTAAAAACATAAAAACATGTAACACATGGCGATAATGTAGTGATTTCTATTCGAATCAACTCAAATTGATATATAAACTGTGCAGGTCAATAGTTTGTTTCAGCCGTTTTTAATAATTAATAATCTACCAACTGATTTCCAAGTGTAGGTACAGAGCTTTTATTGAAACAATTATCAACATATCTAAATATCGTAACATAATAAAATCTCTTTGTACCTTACCTTCTATCGATGACAATAGTTAAACCATGAATAAGCTGAGCCAGCTGGAACAAATATTAAATACAGAACACGTGTTGGGTCGTACAAAACCTCCCACCTACTCAGATCAAATCATTTTTTCGCTGCTCAATGTAATAATATACTTGCTCATTTTAACATATGATTATTAAATTACTGTTGTAGCTTTCCTAGTGGCAGCAAAAGAAAATGATTGTGATCTTTTTTTAGTTTCGGTATAAATAAGAAGAATTCAATCACTTTTTAATATCATCGGCTAACGTGTTTTTTTTTATACATAAATTTGACTTTATATAAGACAGTTGCAGAAGAACTCGTCGAAATCATCCATCTCTTACAAAGACTCCTAATAAGTAACATAATTTGCAGGGTACCAATATAGACTCAAGTTGAATGGTAGTTTCATTCAATTTCCGTCATATCTACAACAAGATCCCTTCGATTTGATTAAACACTCGTAACAAGTTCATTTGAATCCAAATTTGCCCTACATCCTCTTCATGGCGACCAATGGGTCTATGATCTTCCGCCACCCATTGTAGTCAATGGGAGAGCCAACGCCGGGCAACACAAACCCATTCACTATGAAACCAGGAGCTCCATAGATGCCTCTTGATGTACTAAACTGCAACAGGAAAAATGAAGCAGCATCAATTGCTACGAGTTCACAGTTAACACAAATGAATTTGTGGTTCAGAGACAATTCGTTAATAAACAAGATTTCCACAACATCCTGAGCTTTGGATTACCTTAAAGGACACCCTCGTCTTCAGATCGGTTCTTATGTCGCTGAAGGCAGCTTGGAATTGAGGTTGGAGGGAATTGCCGACAGCAAGAGTCGCAAAATCGATCACCTCTTTCACAATGAAAGCTTTCGACAAGTTCTTGGTTTGGTCATTATAGAACTTGTCCTGAAAGAATTTTTGCCCCCCAAGCATATAAATGGTAATTAAGTTTCATTTCCTTACTATCCTCCAACAACAACTCGGGTTATTTTGATACGATACTCCGGAAACAGGATTCTGACCTGATACTTGAAGAACTGCTCGAGCAACGGGAATGTGGAGGAAGAATTGAGCAAGTTTGCGATATGCAGAGATCGAGAAGCAACATATGCGTTGTCATGGTACCTGTTTGTTTCAAAAGAATGAAGAAGAAAAATCAAACAGAAGATATGGAATTTACTTTCTTGAACTACTTTTTTGGATATCACAGATTCATTCTACTGACGGTAAAGGGAGGAGGTGAACTAGCAGGGAGACGCGGGAGCCATAGTGGCTCATAGCTAGCTTGAGAGGCGCCCAGGAGTCTCTGCTGTCGGGGCAAACCGGGTCGAGGAACGCCTCGATCGCAACCGGGTTCGGGTCGACCGGCCCGACGTTCGTGTAGACAAACCCATCGGGCCTGGCCGGCGGCAAGGGCTGGGCGTTGGAGATGATGACGAAGAAGCAAAACAAGGCTACAACTGTTGTGATGATGACTACTCGTAGCGGATTCATCATCTTGGTTCTGTTGTTGCTCTGTTTCCTCTGTTATTATGAGCTGCTAGCTGCAGCTTTGTTCCACTGGTTGTGTAGACAGAAATGATGGATGGTTGTGTAGACAGAAATGATGGAAATGCCAAAGGGAATATAAGAAAGATGTATTTGTGGAAATATGACTAGGATTAGGAGGGCAAAGCAAAAAGTCAGAATTAGTGGAAATTTGGTGTTGCTTTGGCGGGTCAGGCAAATTAGTTAAATCGGACGACGATGTGTGTATTACTATATATAAACAAACGTGTGGTGTGGAAGTTGGTTTGATGTGTGTATTTTTCCGCCCTGGAAGAAAGAATAAAAACAAGAAATGCCCTTCTTCTATGCTATTTGTTTTCTCCCTTGGCATTCTTGTTGTGGTTAATAGTCAGGTAATGGTATTTGATGCCTTCTTTTCCTTGGTTTGTAAGGTGGAAATTATCATTATTTTAATAAAAAGTTCATGATTATGACCTTTACTGTATGTCTATGGGTTGGTAAATGAGATGAGGTTATGGATGTTAATTTAAGGGTTAATATATTTGTATAACCTGAACTTTGACCAAAATAAATATTTTGGCCAATCTTTTCGATCTATAACATATTGGCCCAAACTTATACATCAAAATAACTAAATTGGCCAAACCCGACGTTTGACCGTTAACTTGGATGGTCAAACACGTTGACTTATGGTCAACGCGCCACGTCAGTGCCAAGTCAGCATAAAAATACTTAAAAAATTATTAAATTCCACATATGATGTAATTTTGAATAATTATAATAAAATTTAAACATAAAATTAAAAGTTAAAAATAAAAAGAAATTAAACCCCTCAATCTCCTCTCCCCTTCCACTCCATGTTGTCGAACAGCCCCGCACCACTAGCTACCGCCAGCGGGAACACCAGTACGTCCACCATCACCTTGAACGTCCACTCACCACCTTTTCGAAGAAGACTCGGTCAGGGTCAGCAGGAGCCCGTACTCGACTAGGGATGGCAATGGGTCGGGTTGGGGCGGGTTTTGTCAAACCCAAACCCATGGGTTTATCCGCCAAAACAACCCGGGGTAAAATCCGCTGGGTTTGAAAAACTCAAACCCAACCCAACTCGCTGGGTATCCGCGGGTTCATGGGTACCCGTGGGTTTTTGTGGCAAAAAATTTACAATAACAAGTTTTTTTCAAAATAAAAGTTTAACATTAATTTTCTCATACAAATTATTCATACAAAAAACACCAATCTAGAGCATACAAGCAAACCGCAAATGAACAATACAAATTATTCAAAATTAAAGATAAACATCTATAAACAATAAGATTAATTGAAAGCTTCTTACTCGTCAACTAAGTTTCTCCACTCTCCACTTCATAATATCAACTTCATTCTAAACAATTAGAAACAACAAATCAAATATGTCTCCACAAACATAAAGAATATTAATTGTTTAAGGAAGATATATTATTTAGAGTATTAAATATACCGGGAAAGTAATTATATGTGTGTGGGCGGGTACCCATGGGACGGGTTTACGTAAACCTAAACCCAAACCCAACCCGACCCGGTGAATAGTGTAACAGGTTTAAACCCGAACCCGGCCCAAAACCCATCAACACAAGTTTTACCCGCGTTAACCGGGTTGGGTCGGGTGGGTACCCGTGGGTTCGGGTTTTGTTGCCATCCCTATACTCGACGGATGCCCCGTCCGTGCAGAGAAATCCCCAATTGTTTCCACTTCGCCGTCGCCACCACTGGAAGCCTTCTTCCCCACTTTGTCATCGCCACCGCTGGAACCCTTCATCTATGATGCTCTTCCACTAAGCCTCAATATAAAAAAAAACCGCTTGGAGTTGATGACGATTAGCGGCTAGAAAACCCATTCCAAGGGGAAAATTGAGCTCCAATGGTCCATTTGTTCTGGGATCTGAAAGTGGCGGCGAAATCGATCTTCTCAAATCTCAACAATAATCGAAATCGATCTTCTCAAATCCATGATACCTTCTATAGCTCCTCCGCCGCATCTCCGGGCTACTGTAGTCTTCTTCTTCATCTTCCTTCTGTTCTTCCGCCACCAACTCATCACCGAACGTCAGAGCCTCGCAAATTGTTAGAGGAAGATGCACCCACCTCTGGTTCGGCTGCTGCGAAAACTCCTGCTGCTGGAACATGGACTCGGCAACACCATTCCCGTCGTTGATCCCACACTCCAGTATCTTGAATCTCCCCTCGTCGCCAGGCGCCGCCGACGGCCTCCTTGTTGGGGATAGAGATCGTCGCGGAGAAAGAAGAGAAAGAAAAGGTAGAAGAAAGAGAAAGGGCAGCGTGAGTCCTTTATTATTATTTTTTTTTTAATTTTTAATTTAAATATAATAATTCAGAAATATATATTATGTGGAATTCATGATTTTTTTTAATTTATATTTGCTGAGTTGGTAGTGACATAGCGCGTTGACCGTCCAAGTTAACGGTCAAACGTCGGATTTAGCCAATTTAGTTATTTTGATATATAGTTTGGGTCAGGATGTTATAGATCGAAAAGATTGGCCAAGATGTTTATTTTGGTCAAAGTTCAGGCCATACAAATATATTAACCCTTAATTTAAATAGGTTTCAGTTTGTAAATAAATGAGTCGTTTGATTCGAACTTGATTTGTTAATAATAAGTTTGCGAGTTCTACTCGTGTTTGACTCATCAATTAGCTCACAAGTTCGGCTCGAGGTCAGCTTATTTTTTGTTCTAAAATAGTTGAACCCATAAACTAAATTCTAAAATAATTTATAAATTGAATGCCCTAATACTTGTATGTTATGTATGATAAGTGTTGATTAAGAGATTAAAATATGAGACTTTCACGTTGTAGATTAGATAGTACTACTAGACCAACCTCATTTTGCTTAAATAGTTTAAATAGTTTATTTTTGAAGAGGGAAAACCTATAGAATCAAGTAGGTTTTGAAGCACGGAACTTTTATAGTCCATCCATTGTGAAGTTCATCATTCACCAGCCTAGCCATATCTACAGAATCAAGTAGGTTTTGAATTATGGAACCTTGGTAATTCAACCATTCCGATTGTGGAACCTTATTTTGACTCATTTGGGAAGTATCTGATGTATTGTTTTAATGGTCTCGTTTTGTTAATTGAATGGCCAATTGAAGGATACATGCTCTTTTTCTTTATAATTTCTCATTGAACATTGGGTTGAATCAAGTGAGGCGGTGACAAAAGTAAAGTCTGATTTCTGTTTCCAGTCTCAAATTCCAAATCTTAAAACTAAAAAATCAACCAAAATCACACATTGAAGTACAATAGTACCGGAAGAAAGGACCCAATGAAGGCTGCTTGAGCCTGCGTTAGCAGATGTTTGGGCTTCAGCCCATGAGCTACTAGGACCTCAAGCTCCAGAGTCCAGGCTACCAGAGCAAGTATGCGACTAGGACCTGCAGAATCTAGATGATGGTTGCTGCTAGGGATGGCAACAAAACCCGAACTCACGGGTACCCACCCGACCCAATCCGGTCAACGCGGGTAAAATCCGTGTTGACGGTTTTTGGGTCGGGTTCGGATTTAAACCCGCTACACTATTCACCGGGTCGGGTTGGGTTTGGTTTTAGCTAAACCCGCCCCATGGGTACCCGCCCACACACATATAATTACTTTCCCGGTATATTTAATATTCTAAATAATATATCTTTCTTAAACAACTAATATTCTATATGTTTGTGGAGACATGTATAATTTGTTCTTTATAATTGTTTAGAATGAAGTTGATATTATGAAGTGGAGAGTGAAGAAACTTAGTTGACGAGAAAGAAGCTTTCAATTAATCTTATTGTTTATATATGTTTATCTTTAATTTTGAACAATTTGTATTGATCATTTGCGGTTTGCTTGTATGCTCTAGATTGGTGTTTTTTGTAAGATTAATTTGTATGAGAAAATTTATGTTAAACTTTTATTTTGAAAGAAACTTGTTATCGTAAATTTTTTCCACAAAAACCCACGGGTACCCATGAACCCGCGGATAACCAGCGGGTTGGGTTGGGTTTGAGTTTTTCAAACCCAATGGGTTTTACCCCGATTTTTTTGGCGGATAAACCCATGAGTTTGGGTTTGACAAAACCCGCCCCAACCCGACCCATTGTCATCCCTAGTTGCTGCTCCATATTGGCGATTGCTCCATACGATAGTTTGTTACTGGGTATGATTAAGATGTGGTGACTAGTGGGTCTCTTAGTTATTTGGCTAAATCGATCTCAGTTCTTCAAATTCATTAAAATTTATTGACTTCAATTAATTAAATTTAATGAAGGACAATGTAGTAATTTCATTATTATTTTATTTGTTAATTAAAAAAAGGTCAGACCTCTCCCTTCCTGCGCAGGGATCTCCCCACCGGTCCATGGAAATTTGGCCGTGGCGTGGGTTTTTGGTTGCGTGGGTTTTTTTTTTGGCCCCGGCGGTGGCTAGGGTTTTCCCCTCTGTTGGGTTTTTGGTAGGTGGTTACGAGAGAAAGATTTTTTGCTGACCGGAGGAAACTTTCCGGTGACCAGCGACGGCGGAGAAGGATTTTATGGCGATAGTGTTGGATTTGTGATGTTTGTTGACCTATTTTGTAATGTTTGTATCGATTCGGTTTCTATTGTTTATCATTTTGTTTGTCATTTTTTAGTGACATTTTGTACGATTAGTATATTTTGTACTGTTTGTCGGTTTATTTTGTAATGTTTGTAAGCTTTGTTATTTTTGTGCACCATTTTTATCATTTTTGTCAACCATGTTTGTAATGTTTTTTATGTCTAAAAAACAACCTGGTTGACTTTTGGATGGAACTCCTCTATATTGGGATGAAGTCTCCACTACAAGAAAACTTACTTGCGGAGACAAATAATCAGACACAATTATTGTATTAGTCGCCATAGCTAACATTTTGAGACAATAGTATTATTTCTTTCAATATGTCATTGTATTTGTCTCCGTATCATAACAATTTCTTAGAAAAAATATTAATTGTCTCCATATGTCATTGTATATGTCTCTTTTTCATAATATATTTAAAGAATATTAGAAAGAAATATTATTTGTCTATATGTTATTGTATGTGTCTCCATTTCATTATATTTTCTAAGATTTTAAGAGAACAATATTATATCTTCATATATGTCATTGTATTTGCATCAATTTTATTTTATTTATAGAGACATATTTATGAAAATTTTCATTTAATACTTTTAATTTGCAGTTATTCACCAAAAGAAATTTCCACTTATATTTTATATACTAGCTTATCACCCGGCCCCTTGGCCGGATGTAGTCTCGAAAATTAACTCTTTGATTCTAACTGATATTACCCATAAACATGTATGCGACGATGGCCGGAGGTAGGTCAACAACATTATATATAATAATATGATGGAAAGTCATTATCCCAATCCATTACAAAAGAAACAGTAAAACATAAACACTATAATGGACAATCCAAACCAAGCCATTAGCCTTAAATATAGCAACTATTGGCATGCACCATGATGCCCCTAGAGTCAACATGAAGAAACCAAAGGAATGTTTACCTGGCTACAATTATCGATGGTAAAAATGGAAGCCACCAAGAGATTTCATAAGAAAAACCCAATCTAGATTTCCCTTAGACCAAAAACCACAATGACACTGAAGGCAATGAATCCCTGACTGAGAAAACAAAAACCAGTAATGCCCAAATCTTATCGATGGAATGCGTCGGCCAGTTTTTTCTTATAAATACTTTTGTTAATTAAAATGACAGAAAAGAAAAAGAAATACAAAGCATGCCATCTATTGTAGAAATCTCATATACAAACAAAAGAAACAGGCAAGCAATATATGTCTGGAAGCACCAACACATAATATTTTTTGTCAATATCCCTACCACTGTGAAATCCTACCAAATCACTCATAACCTCTCTATTACACTAAACACACAAGTGGCTTACAATTATGTACTTTCTATCTCTTCCATATGTATAAGTCAATCGTCATGAACCCTCCCCATTATCACTATTCTTATCTTTCTCGATAACAAATACACTGACTGGTTCACTCTTACTCCTTCTTCATGGCAGCTATGCGGCATTTTGCATCAGTGCACATTAATTCAAACGATCATTCCTTGCTGAAATTTGTGGCTTGGGGTAATATCACTTCAGTGATAATAAAAATTTACATTAAATGAAAGGAATGATCATTATATTAGCCTTGTAAAATTTAGAGTACCAATGATAATTCTTCTCTTCTCCTCGGTGGCTTCGTCAATAAAATGAGATTGATGACTATCTCTGCCAACGCATTCTATATGATCATAGCAACTCCAAGAGCTAACCAAGGGCCTTTTGTATAAACCATTTCTGCCTTACCCATTTTCGCATTGCAACTCCAAGAGGTAATTTATCGGGGCTCTCGTCTAGGTAAACAACTTGTATCAACATTAGGTATGAAAAAAAAATTGCTTTGGTTGAGATACTATCAGGATCTTGTGATACTGTGAACAAGACTAAACCGTTTCTCAGGCATTGTCAACCCCCAATCAATTGACATGGGTCATTGCTATTTTACCATCTAAATTAAAGAGGAAGCTCAGGTTAGCCTCTTTTATAACTTAACTTGACAATTACTTAGAGGAGATACAATCACGATTCACAATTCTAGAACAACCACCTTAGATAATAAAATCTTATGGAAACAACACTAATGAAGCACCTAAATTACAAAAGAACCATGTTTTATATGTTGAAGATAAGCATTATAGCTTGAATAGTTCAATTCGCCAATGATTACATATAAATTTGTGTAAAGTGGTATGATTGAAGCTATTCTCTATGTTAACACTAATAAGAATAGTCTTTGTTTACTGGAAACTAACCAAAAAAACATTTCAATCAGAAAAATGATGATACTGAAAAGGAGTATCATAAAAAAGCAACAAAAAGTATAACTATTTATCTTTAATAAACTCAAAAGTCAACCTAGAAGATCAACCAAATGAACTGATGTTAAGAGATCACACATTACTGTCAAAGAAACTAAATAACCCATCAGTCAACTCTCCAAGTAAGAACACTCAACCTTTCCATATTTACCCTCTGAAAATTGCTTTGCGTAACAATATAGGTGGAGGAGGTTAGACGATTGTCGAGTCCGATGGGAAGGTTTGGAGAGACGATGATGGTTGAGCGTTTAGTAGGCCGGGAGGCCGGGACACTATTTATCTTTAGTCAAATCAAAAGTCAACCTAGAAGATCAACCAAATCAACTGATGTTAAGAGATCACACATTACTGTCAAAGAAGCTACATAACCCACCAGTCAGCTCTCCAAGCAAGAACACTCAACCTTTCCATATTTACCCCTCCGGAAATTGCTTTGCGTAATAATATAGGTGGAGGTGATTAGGCGGTTGTCGAGTCCGGTTGGAAGGTTTAGAGAGACAGTGATGGTTGAGCGTTTGG